TTTCACTCTAATATAAACAAACAAACGAACAAACAAACGAACAAACAAACGAACCCCTCATTAAAAATGTATTTTACAAACTATTAAAAAAAATTAGGCACATTATTGAAATATACAACAATATTTGTAAACAGAGAGTTTTTTTTTTCTTAATTTTCTCGACTTTAAAATAAAATTCAATAAATTAAAATAGTCATTAGATTTCAGTTGACATTGTTCATAAGCGTAATAACTTTAATAATAGTTATAAAATACTGTAACAAATTTAGAAAATCACGAAAACAAGTTTCAGAACCATGAGTCTATTATGGACAGAATCTCAATTGACTCCCTGCTGAACTCCTAGTGCACTAAAACAGAGTGTGAAAGCTATTATTTCATGCCCTCTGCAGTGCGCTTATATAGGGAGCACGAGGCCACTTGGAACTATGTTTATAATCCGGTTAGCTAGCGAGAACATTCCGCTAACTTGCTGTCACTATGCGAAAGCCCACGCAAAGTTGTCTTTATTTATTTATTTACCTTTTTTTGCTCGATAGATTTAAGGAGAAAGACTCTCTCGCAGTTTGATAAAGGAGTTTCCCTCATATTTGCCGCTCTAATGTGGCAAATGTATATACAGTTTATAAAATAAGTCGTTCACGTTCCTTTTCTCAGCATGAGTAGCCTCCTGCGCGATGTAATGACGACAGCGCAGCAAAACAATGACGCGCAGTTATGACGTCTTTCATTTTTCCGTTTTCTGGTTTTATTACATATTATAAGAGCCCACAGTCTGTTTGCTGTTTGTTAAAACGTAATAATGAACGCACTATACACTTATAGCTGCAATAACAGAGATGTTTAATTTTAATACGATGGTTTATTTGACCGAGACGCTGAGCTGCGAACTGCGTTGAACAGCGCCCCCAGTAACATGTGGCGGAAATGGGTATTGCATCATCTACACACGTGTCCTAGCACCTGCTGAGCTTGTGTTTATTTCCATGAATATTAAAGATTTTATGTACTTCCATACATGATAATACAAGAGCTTATTAGACCAGATATTCATTTTAAAAATATTAGGTTTAAGAAATAACGTCTAACAATCTTTATGCAGACCAAGACCACTCATACTGATGATATATACTTTTAAAAATATTTTTAATATACAAAAATGGCCAAAAACATACCAAAGAAATATACTGCTACATCTATTTAAAAAATATTTTTAAACACACACACACACACACACACACACACACACACACACATATATATATATATATAAATTTTTAAAGTTAATAGTGTATAACAGTATATTTTACTTTGAAAAATTTCCTTGAGCTCTGCTGAATATTTCAGATATATTATATGTGTTGTATTTTGTACCAGCAGAAAAAATACAGGTATTTCATTTTATCTCTAGCTCTGATATACAGTATGATTACCTAATACATGAGTGTCCTAAATCACACTCCTGCTATCAGAAAAAGGTTGCTTTGGCACAAAGAATGCTAAATGCCTGGTTCTGTGAGAATGTCAGCCCTCTGATATGAATAAACACCATCCTGGGGATTTCAGAAAGCCATAAATGTTTGATCCAACATTAAAATGGCCCATAAAATTGTCCCATATTTTAACTTATTTTGCTGTGCATGCAAACTCGTTGCCTTAAATATGAACTAGTTCCCTAGTGAGCATTTTTCTGAGTTTATATACAATCAAAAAATATAGATGAATGAATAATTATTGCCAGTTATAGATATTATAGGTATTTACGGTATATAATGCTTCTAAAGGTACTTATAGTCAACGTAGAACTTTTTGCAAAGGGACAAATGAGACAAACCTGATTTATGTATCATTCACTGTTTATAATCAGACCAACAGACATCATTAATCACCAGCCTGCAGATTGTTTTCATGAATCATAACCTCAGTTTACGAGTTGAATAGAAATGATCTCTCTATCCATTCATGTTGTTTTATGACCTCTGATTGTCCGTGGGCAGAATTTGCATTTAGGCAGATGTCCTTTTTTAAACCAGACACCAGCCGCCGGTTTTACACCTCACAGTGGTAGTTATTGTGAGCTTTATAATGCACAGCTCGAGCCTCTCATATGTGCGCTATGATGGATGACATGGCTGGACGCAGGCGCCTTGAACGGTGTCACGTGACCCCGCCCTCTTTGCACTATAGCACACGTGGTCAATCATCAATCATCTTAATTCCCATAGCAAACAGCTGAAATAAAAATATGAATAGAAAAAGAATCAGAGCCGATAATACAACAGTATAACAGAGAAGTAGTCCTGAAATATAATGTGTGTGTGTGTGCATGTGTGTGTGTGTGTGTGTGTGTGCTATATATTCTTTTACAATTAAGCAATTTACCTAAGACTTACCATAAGCATTTACTGTACATACAGTACTGTGCAAAAGTCTCAGTCACACTGTTTGTTGTTGTACAAATTGTTGTTATAGATGTTTATTTTATGTCTTCTGCATTATTGAGTCCGTACAAACACATTTTATATTTCCAAACGTTTTCCAAATTTCCAAAATTACAACACAAAATGAAAAGTTACAGAAAATCTTTGGATGTCAGTAAAGAAAGCAACATATTACAAGACCATTTTTCAGACCAAAATACATAATGAGGGCTGCTGGGTTTTGCATGCAAAAAAAAACAAATTAAAAATTAAAAAAAGAAGAAGAAGAAGAAGAAGAAGAAGAAGAAGAAGAAGAAGCAAATGCGACAGTCAGAGCCTGTAGAAGACCTGTGGCAGATTCTGCAAGATGCTCAGTAAAACCTACCAGCTAAGTTCCTTATAAAACTGCGCAAACTATAAAACTGATTAAAAACAAAAAAAGCAAAGGCTTTGTTTAGTTTAGAGTCCTTTCAGAATCGTTTCAGAATCGTTTTATTCGCCATATACGTATTAAAACACTAAACATTCAACACACACATCTCAGACAACACAACACAATTACCATCCTAATATACAAATATTGCACCTTAAGCAGAAATGGTAGGCTCAGTTGTAATTTACATTAAAGTGGAGGTAGAAATAATTACAGTTTAATCATTTCAATTTATTACAGTTTAATGCTTTTTATAGTTTTTTTTTTAACCTAGAAACAGTTATATTTTTTATTATTTTTGAAGACATTATTGCTTTTAGCATTTCTTTGCATTTTCTTTGCAAGACTTTAGCTTTTTTTATCACTCTATGCTTCAGCATGCTGTGCAAATAATAATAATAATAATAATAATAATAATAATAATAATAATTAAAGGCTCATGCTCTAAATACTAGGATTATTTTACAGGCTGCTCGTAAACCTTTTGGTCTCCATAGCTGCCGATCTGATCGACTTTTCAAGGCATCACAATACATATGAATATTAAATATGACATTATAGTGAAGGTCGAGATGGACAGTGCCATGAGTCTTAAGGCAGAAGTGGGAAAAGTATAGTATGATGTAATGAAAAGGGTCCTACTAATAAGTAAGAAGACATTTTTTTGACTGGTTTCCCTCTGTGCAGGCCAGTGATGGAGAAGGCTGGTTGCTGCTGTGAGCTTTTTGTCATGCAAACACTGCTGAAAAGGGGGGGGGGGGGGGGGGGGG